ATGGCAATAGCCTGTAACGTTTGTCGGCAGGACTAAACTGACCACCAGCTCAAAAAGAGGTGACCATACCTGGCACCAGGCTTTTACTTGATAGCCTATGGTGTCTGACAGAGATCTTGCTCTCCTCTCCCCACCCCCCACCCCATTATAGGGTAATCCGTTTAAATTCCAAAGTATGTATACCCTTAAGGAAGCTCTACAGTAGTTTCTCCATATGGTTTTCCAAGGTATTTAATGTTAGCTCTACCTTCCCCATAGGCCATAGGTGTCTTAACCTTGAACATTACTTGAAAGTTCGGCTCTTTCCCGATTTTTTTTCACACAAGGACTAAATGAAACATTACTAACGTTAACATTTTCCAGCAGATTTCTTTTTCTATTAATTTCTCAGGAACGGAATGCTTGAGGCAGGCAGCAGGAGGGCTTTTTGACTGTCTGAAGTGGGTCGCCCTGACTTGGAAGTCATCCCTTCGTGTCTGTTTCTGTGGCCTTGTAGGTGACTGAGGAGACGAGTGTCGTCCTGCAGACGCTTGGGTACACGTGCACATGCCGAGGCATCATCAACGTAAAGGGGAAGGGGGACCTGAAGACATACTTTGTGAACACGGAGATGTCAAGGTCCCTTTCTCAGAGCAACTTGGCATCCTGAAAAGCTGTCCCTGTCTGGCAAGAAGAATGCATTCGTGGGAAGGTACCACACACTTTCCGACTGCAGCCTGTGTCCCTCGTGTCGATGTCTGTGCTCTATCCCATCCTCTGGAGCCCTTGCAGACTAGTTCCTGTGACCCAGTGGCATACTGTTTGGTGTCTCCATGTGCCCAGATCGTCCTGCCACTTGCACTGTGCTTACTCCTAAGCAAAAGGAGAAGGGAGCGTGTCCTGGAAGGGGAGCATTTGAAGAAGTGATGAAGAGAGAGGTGAAGTGAACACAAATTCTTAAGGCAATAAAACTGGGGGGTGTATATTATCTTCTGGTGCATGTTCTCTGGAAAATACGGTAGCTCATAACCGCATCCCTAGTCTGATATTCAAACACACAGTATTTGTGAATAAGTTGATCCTGTCACCTAACATGGAATCTGTGCTCACCCACCCATGTGTCTCATTGCCAGTGATCATCCCTGGGCCTCAGTTGGGACTTGCGGCTCTTGTCATCTTGCTCTGTTGTCTTCTGGCAGCGGCACATTGCCATCCATCACCAGAATTAGTCCTCACAGCCTAGGACCAGTTTTGTACCAAACTCGTCTGATGTTTTGATGCCATTTGTCTTTTGTAAGGTTAACTCATTAAAAGTTTTATGTACTTTGGTTTATAGTGCCTGCATCATTTCTTTTCCTTTTTTTCCCCTTTGGTTTGGTCCAGAATGAAAGTTTTTCATCTATCTTCTTCATAAACAGCCTAGAAGCTAGGACTGAGATATTAGATATATCCTTGGATAATGGAGACAGTGTCAAAGTTTGCAATGCAGTTAATTATGATATGGTTTTCTGGGAGAAAAGAATATGATAGTCTGGGTTTAATTTAGCTATCTTTCAAGAACCATTTAAGCAGTAAAAAGTCAGTATGCACCTCAGAGTCCTTTCTGTTTACTGAGCCCTTGTGTAAGGCCTTCCCTTGCCTGGGCTTGCAGACTCAAACAACATGAGAAGCATTTGGGACAAGCTGTATAAATCAGGTGCCACAGTAGCCTGAACTTGTGAGCTTACAAGCTGCCTGCTATGTGTGAGGAGGCTTAAGAAGTCCTGCATTGTAAATCCAACTCTAAAGTGGCTTGGTTTTGACTTTTTTTTCAAACATAAAGAAATTACATTTTGCCAAATGATAAAAAATAAAACATTTGTGTGTTTAATAAAAAAGTTTACAAGAGAAAAAATGTGAACAACAGGCTGACTGAGCAAACTTGGTTTCCTTTTTTTAGTTTAGGACAGACATCTGTAGGAGGTGGAGAACCCAGACAGGCTGGTAGGAGACAGTTGATTAATGGATGCCCAGACATGAAGCACAGGCTTCCAGTCTGACTCCTGGCTCAGATTTCTAGACTAACTGCATGCCTTGGAACACATCTCTTAATTCCTCTTAAGAGTGTTTTCCCCCTTGCAAGCTCATGGGATCCAGTTGTGATTAAATGACTGAGAGAGAGCTTGGCACAGTGTGCCTTCACCAGTGCATTCACAGCACGCACATGGCTGCTGTGCCAGGACCTGGACTCAGAACCGCCCTCTACCGCCCACCCAAGTGTGAATACAGCATGGCCTTTTCAATATTCTACCTTAATCAGGCGTTTTTGGATCCTGTAATCATGATGAGGCATTAGTTTCAAATCTCTGAATGGTAATTGAAAACAGAGATTCAATGATAGGGCATTCCTCTTCCCTCTAACCAAGATCTAACTAGCCTGCTAGAGAGCAATGGCTTCAGCCATCAGAAGTGTCCACTGTGTCTTTCCTCCTCTGCCTCTCATACTCCCAGTCGGTCCAGGCCACCATGCCCCAGTTAATAGCCACTTGAGCGATTCATCAAGTTTCCTCAAAGAGCCCCCCGTAGAGAGACTGTGGACGAAGAACCATGGAGAAAAGGACTTGGGAGGATAGAAGCCAGAGCTAAATTACCTGTCTGAAGCATCAACAAAAATTTGGCAACAGCTAAGGTCATTGTCAGCGTGTGCCTTACACAGCTCTGGGCTCACACTGGCCTCTCTGGGTGGAATCTCAGCCAGCATAATCTCAACCAAAACCTGAACCACTGGAGAAGAAATATGGCCCAGCCCACATTTACAAATTCCCAAGTGATTCGATCACCTTCCCAATTTGAGACTCCCTCACCTGCAATTTATGAATAAGGAGACAGGTGCAGAGACACCCTGCCTGTTGCTCCTAGCCTGGTGGCTGCTCTGTGGCCAAGGCACCACTAAGGCAGGAATCAGCCATTCCTGACCTGAGCTCCTTGACCTCTGAGGAACAAAAATATCCTTAGAAACATGAAAATCAGAGGAGTTGCGGGAAGTCCCTTGACAAGCATCCCTCATCCCTTTTAGCCTTAACAGGAAGCATCTCCCGAAACCAAGTCCAGTCCCCTAATTCCCGTGCTTTAATGTGACTGTCTAGAGATGGCTGAGTTGTGCTGTCTATCAGTCCTCCAGGGTTTTCTTTGCCTCTTTAATGAGCTTCTTGAAGCCAGTGGCCATCACAACTTCTCTGCCTTCTGTTGCTTCTTTATCAACATCCATATGCAGCAACCAACAGCAAACACTGCTGGGGATTTGATAAGTGGAAACATATTCTAGTAACTATTAACGCAGGATTGTACTCTCTTGGTTGGAGACAGGCTCAGCACTTGACACCACACACTGCTCCTGCAGAGGACTCAAATTCATTTCCCAGAATCCATGTCTGGTGCTCACAGCTGCCACATTCCAGCTTCAAGGGATCCGACACTCTCTTCTGTCCTCAGCAGGCACCAGCGGCAGTGCAAATACCACACATACACACATACACGTAAGTTTAAGTCCTTAAAAAATATTAATAAGATCCCCCATTTTAAGATGTCTCTAACTGACATTCAATAATTGGCTGTAAACATTGAGAACCCAACAGAAATCCATTTACTTTTCCTTTACTACCTACTAAATGTGAGACCTTTTGAAACCTTGATCGATTCCATCCCTTCTTAAAAGCAAGCAGCATGCTGGGTGGGACTGTGAACACCTCCGTGCACTGAGGTGGTCAGAAGCTGGAAAGCTGAAGGCTAGCCTCAGCTACACCTTGAGCTTGAGGCCAACCTGAGCTCTATAAGACCTGTCTCCAATTCTTCCCCCCACCAACCCAAAAAATAAAAAATAAAAAAAATAAAAAGAAAGCAAACAGTAGGGGAAGGATATAGGATCCATCCTGAAGTGATGAAAATAATTTAGTTTGACATTAATTTAATTCATCTGCTTACAGTTTTTAGCTAAAAGAATGAATGAGTAAAATGTAATTTACACAAATTTCTATAATCAAGATTTTTGTATGTTTTTATACTATAAATATGGTATAATGAGCCCAGGGGTATCTCACATATACTATTACTATTTATTTGGGAGGTAAAGAGCAAAAACACTGAAAAACATTCAAGAGATAAATATTTAGGAGTTACTCAGCCTTGAAATTGCCAGCAATTCTGGATCATGTGTCCTTGGAGAAAGCACCTTGCAGATTCAAAACAATGAAACCAGTGATTGAGCACTAAAATTAATTAGATCACCTGCTCATTTACTGCTCAACTGTGGGAAATTCATCATAGTAAATGAGAGATGATTTCTTCCAAAAGATCCATTCATTAAAGATATATCTTAATGCTGGTGTGTGTGTCAAATTCTCTTGCAAAATAAACACTTGCAACAGTGGTTAAAATCAGGTGCTTCCAGAGGAGGACACTGTTCAAAATGAAAGCCGTGGGCTGGAAATGTATCTCAGTGGCATAGTGTGCAAGGCTCTGGGTCTGGCCTCAGTGTCAATAATAACGTGAGTGAGCAGAGCCTCAGTGCTTGGGACTGGACACACTTCACAGGGCTCCCCTCTGGTAATGTTCGGAGTCACATGTCTAAGTTTGGAATTTTCACCTATAGATGGCAAAATATCAGATCAAACAGAAAGAAACTGCAGCAGGCAGACTTTTTGCAAAGTGTGCCCAACACGAGAGTCCAGCCTGTGTCCTGCACCTGGAACGGCTTCTCCCAGGAGCAGTACAAATGTGCACAGGCTTTTATTCTCTGTTATGCAAAATTCGATTTGTCTGTGACAAATTCTGTAATTTCAAGTGAACACAATATCCTGTCTAGAGTTCAGTCATGTCAAGGGCCATTTTTTTACATCTCCTCTCACAGAAGGGTCATCTGTATTGTGAGCAGGGAGGTTTCCCTTAGTGACAGAGAAGGATGCCAATGATGGTCCTGTGAACTCTCCCTCAAGGGACCCTTTCGAAGGGGAGACAAAGCACACAGCAAACATAGCCACCACCAAAGGAAGGCAAGCTTTTCTTTTATTTGGGTTCTCAGAACAGATCAATAGAAACATGGGTGAAGGTGCTTGGCGAGGTTCTGAGCCAAAGCCACCTTAGATATGAATGTGCTTATCCTCCTGTGGTTGAAGTACATTCTTACAGCTACAGGTGACGAGAACATGAAACTGCACAAAAACCTTCTTTCTACACAACCTCACTTGTGGCAGGGCACCCTGTAAACCACAAGACTGCTTCAAGCTGGAGATATGTGCCCGAAGCCAGGTGCCTTGATGCTGGGGATGTCATTCTTCCGGTAGAAGTCAGTCTTCACATGGTTTACACGGCCGTGGCCTCTGTTTAGCGCCTCAACAGGCTGATTGATGTGTTTTCCATAGAGAGAGGACATCAGCACTGGCACAGTCCTTTCCTTTTCCTGGGAAGATGAAATGCACAATCACCATAGTGAGCACAGACGTCTTTCTACCCACAATGCATCAACACATTGGCCCTCCTCAGACGTCTCAGCAGGTCACATCTCAATGATGCTTGCACTTACAAATCCAGGGATTCTAGTCCCTCTGCTCATGGCCCTCTACTTTCCTGACATCTGGAGGAGGCTCCAGTTGTGGCCTGACTTCAGGTTCTACTCTTCCCCCTTCCATCTCCTCTCTTGCCCTCTCCCACACACCCCTTGCCATCCTCTCTCCACCGTAGGACAGTAGCCTTGATCTTCAAGACTCTGTTCTTCCCATTCATCCTGCTTGGCCATGTCACTGCCAGAGAGCTCCAACCATCCAAGTCTCTGGACATCACTGGGAGTCTTTTCTGATCCCTCCTCCCTGCAGAACCTCCCTGTTCCTTTCACTCTCCTTATGCTTTATAGGATTTCTCTGTACATGCTGTCCATCAACATAGAACCAGATTGTTTCTCTGCCTTTGGCCTTCTACTCTTCTCTCTTTGTTGAAGTGTCAGCTCTCCGAGGATATAGGGCTTGATTCGTAGTCCCTTATGCTCCATTGTAGAGAGTGGAGCATCAATGCATCATTTGAGCTACCCTCTCACCAGAAAATAGAAACTTCAGTGCTAACTCAGAATGCATCAATATGAGCAAATATAAAAATCCCATGTCAGTGAAAGGAGTGACGACACAGTGCTTTTTGTTTTCTAGACAGAATTTCTCTGTGTAGCTTTGCCTGTCTTGAACTCATTTGGTAGACCAGGCTGGCCTCTAACACATGATACCGTGGTGCCTTTATCACTTAGCTCCAACTCAAACTAAGAGTGGCAAGATGGCAGGAACCAGTGGCCTCACTCACTGCAAAACAAGCCACCATACCACAGCTTCAGACTCCGAGATCTTAATAACAGCCACAGGAAGAAATCCAGAGGCTCGACAGAAATCCCACCAGAAGCTTTTGTGTTCTAACTCCATGTGATGCGTTGTCTAATAGTCTCTGTGTAGTCAGCCCTGACCTATAATAAGCTTGCCATCTTCATTTGGGACTGAGCATCATGTCAAAATGCAGACATGCCTGCCACAGACAAGGATGGGCCCAGCCTGGCCCAGGAGAGAAAGCAACCCCAGTGCCTGCCTCCCTGCTGCGGCCCTGACAAAGGCGCCATTACTCCAGCCACCTCCCATTGTAGCTGATTCTAGATGACCCCTTCCTGTTGGAAACATTGGGGAGGTCAAAACAGAGCTGCACCCCACATGGTGGGGACTTGAGGACCAGACTTGGGGAAATAAAGAATAGAAACACTGTGATTACAAGGGCTCAGCGGATGAGCAAGTAAGGACTTCTAGCTGTTGAAAAGCACTTCCTAATTTTACTCTCCTTAAATTGTCCAGTTCCCTAGAACCAATCAGAAAAATTACTGCAAAAATGGAGTCACAGAGCAGAAGGATCTTAACTTTTCAGCACAATAAAATAGATGCAAGCCACATAAACAAAGCTACATAAAACAACTGAACACAATGTCAAATATTTTCATATGGTCACATATACATGCACACAAATTTAAATATTTATGTGTGTGCTCATACATACACATGTACATCTGCAAAATACATGTGTGTACATGTAGAGATATCTTCATGTTCTCACATGCATATAGATAAATATGCATGAAAATGTGTACACAGGCACACACATATGTATTCACACACTCAATATATACATGTGTGTGCACATGTGTGTATGTAATACATGTGTGTACCTATATACAAATGTGCATATGCACATATAGAAACATATATGCATTCATGCACATATTTTCACACTACGTGTGTATACACACGTATGCATGGGTACATACACATATGCATAGCTTTGATGGTCTAGTAACATCATCAACATATCTTACCTCCTCATTAATATGAAGCCCCAAGTTTTTTGCATGTTCTCTGTCATCTCGATGTAATTTCTGGTTATAATCTTGTCTCCTCTTGAAAACACAGTCATAGAGGGAGACGACCCCTGTCTGGGAGTAAACAGAAGCTGTCACAGGTGTGTCCGAAGATGCGGCACCAGCTTCAGGGCAGCACTGGAGCCAAGCACTGTGCAGTGGGGACTAGCGTGTGTGGAGTTTCTGCTTGTGGGAGTAGGCCCTGAGGAGGGACGCCACACGTGGCAGACCTGCCTGTGACCTGGAGCAGAGGGGAGCTCAGACCCCACCCGCAAGAGCAGAGTGTTGTGAGGACCAAGTCTGAGTGCAGGGCTTCGGCAGTGCCTCTCCCTGGCTCTCTGGTGTCCCACCTTGAAACAGCCCTCAAAGTTCGTCCCCCTCTGACACTGTTGCAAGAATTCAAACCTTATTCCATTCAAGTTGCTATGGGGAAATACCATGAATGGAGCAGTTTGTAAACAAAATACATTTCTCAGTTTAGAGGCTGGACATCCAAGATCAAGGTGTGGGCTGCTTTCTGCTTCATACATGGCGCCTTCTTGAAGCATCATCCCAAGGGAAAGAGAACACAGAGGCTCCCTCAGGCCTCTTTGATGGAGTCACAAAAACAATTCATGAGGGCTCCACCTCCAAGAACTGATCTCAGAGTGTCTAGTATAACCTTATCCTGCTATGAAAAATCAGCGGTAACTGGGTGCTATGACAGCATGACCAAACAGGAGTTAACACTCTAACTGCTGGCCAATGGTCAGATTGCCTAAATATGCAAACTCCCTCTTGAGAGACAAAAATATTTTTCTTAAGTCCTAAGTGTAGCTATAGTACTTTGTAATTGATATCCATGAGTATATGTAATATGTCTAAACGTATAGCAAACATGCATTACACATATATAGATACACGTCACACAACTTAGATGGTCTGGAAGATGCCCTATAATAGAGCTGGTTTCTATACATCTCTGGATTTCTTCCTCAACTTTTTCTTAAGTCAGTCTGCTTGTGTGGAATGCAGTGAAATAAATAATCCATGTGTTTGGTGTTATTTAATCTTCATCTCGCACATGAGGCTTGGGTTTCTTGCTCTAGACACCCTGATTCCTTCAAGCAACAAAACCATACTTGGTTTACTATAGGATTTGAATTGAGCACCAGCTATTTCACGTATACTGAAGTGCTTTGGTTTGAGTTTTGTTTGTTTGTATGTTTTTCCTGATAATGATACTAGAATTATTTCCTCTGTGTGACAGAGACAAAATAAATAATGGCAAGAAAGGATGCACACACATGCTGAGCAGGCTGGAAAACACAGTGACCATTTACAGACTGCAGGAAGCCAACATGGCTGCCACTGGTGGGGACTGCTAGCAAAGCAGCTTGCAGCAAGGACAGCATTCCTAAACTGTCTACCAGGCAGATTTTGGGAGCCATCTCACACCTGGTAGCTCACACCTGATGTGATTATACATCCAGCGAGGGGAACTTGTTGTTCCATGTTTTGTAAGAATGCTACCAGCAGATCGATATGCAGGGAACTTTCACCCACCGCCAGATCCTATCTTAAATTCAGGGTCATTCCTATGCCCGTCGCTGGAGGCTGTGGCTTCTATCTCCACATTGCAGCTGGTCATTAGTGTGCCTGCACCAACTGCCCTGGGTATTGTCTCCTGATCAGGTAACACATAATCTAAACAAAGGTTAAAAAAAAAAAGCTAACTCAATGGAGAATTGATAAATTATCAGCATTTAGTGCTGTAAAATTGGCTACTTCCTTCTGTCTTCACATCACACTATAGACAAAAGTAAGTTCTAGATGAATGAGGAAAATAAGAGAAAAAGAAAGCCCATAAGGGACCTCCTACGCATAAAAGCAATAAGGAAAATGTCATAAAGAAAACATCAATCACTTTGACTCTATAAAATTAGACATTTGCTTATCAAATAAATCTAAGTTTCTTTAAAAACCCATTTTAAGGCATGACAGGGAAATCTCAATGTCTTGAACACTCTGTGCAGATCTGTTGCTGCAGAAGCTGGTGGGCCGCCAGCCGGCACAGGCAAAGCAATGCTTTCTGGGAGAAACAGCAAGGGCCCTTCAATAGCACAAAGGAAGTCCAAGCCAGACACCCACTCTGCAGGGATGGTGGGTGTAAATTCTCTCCAGGTGGGTCTGGCCCTCTTCAAGGAAGGTGAAGATCCAGATAGGTCCTTTGAGGCCCAGAGCTGTTGGCTGAGTCCAGGAGAGGCCCACAGCAAGACCAGAGTAACCTGAGATGCCAGCACAGCCTGATAGTACCATAACAAGAATGGTTTTTCCTAGTTTTCCAAGACAGGGATTTTTTGTGTAACAGCTCTGGCTGTCCTGGAACTTGCTTTGTAGACAAAACTGGCCTCCTACTCATAGATATCCACCTGCCTCTGCCTCTCAGGTGCTAGAATTAAAGGAATGTGCCACCACACTCAGCTAGAACATTTTCTTAAATATTTATTGTTATTTGTGTGTGTGTGCATCTGGGTGAGCAAGTCCATGAACAGGTAGCTGCAGAGGCCAAGAGAATACATTGGATTCCCTGGTGTTGGAGTTACAGACACCTGTGAGCCACCTGATGTGGGTGGTACAAACTGAACTCAGGTCCCTTGGAAGAACAGCAAGCACTTTTAACTGCTAAGTCGCTTCTCACGGTGACTTATGCCATCAGATGGTAGTCAGGCTGATGGTATGATCTCAGTTTTCTGTTCCTGCTCCAGATGCCACTCTATCCTGGCTAACACCGTGCTGCCTGTAGGATGGAGGAGATCCGCCAAAGCTCACAAGATGAAGGATGAACACTTGTGACCAGGTAGTTCTCTTAAGTACCCTGGGGACCATATGCAAAGTGGAATTGGATGGTGTTCCCCATCCCATGCCCAACAGTGCTCCCATGGGGTAACTAGCCTGCTCAGGTAAGGGGAACGACAGGAACAGAGGGAAAGCTCCAACAGTGTCGGGAGGCACTTCTTCCCCAGTGTTTTCAGCCAGGCTGAGCCTCCTGAGCAGAGTGGGTCCTGCTGGGGGCCCACTTATCCAGAAGGAAGACCCAAAGACAGAACAGACTCAAGAAGAAACATGCTACATACACTTCCACACCACAGAAACCTACTGCAATATGCAACCACAGGACAGAAAAGAAAAAAATAGTCTATTGCGTCTTATTCTAATGAGGTCTCCAAAAACTCTGTAAAAAGAAACAGCTAGGAGCTCATGCTGCCTCTTAGTCCCAAGGTGTTGCAAGCACCTAGGACATCTTGATCTGGATTAGGAATTTCCCTGTTTTTGGGCATGGACTAATGAGAACCGTAGACAATGCTCCCTACCCCCTCTTCTTCTACCAGCCCCACTCCCCCATGTGTGCGCTGCATATTCAGAAGCTTCCAGTGTAAAAGATGAATTTTTCTATCATAGAAGAATTGGGATAAAAAGAAAAAAATTACTAGCAGACATAGCAGCCTCACAGAGCAAAACACTATCCATCTCCAGTGCCTAAGCAGAGCCAAAGTGTGTCTTCCATTACTGATCTTTCATCTTTTGTTCTTTCATTCCTTTGTGGCTTGAAGCAGAATGATTTTAATAAAAACCAATTGGTATTGAGATGCTATCACAACACAGACTTGGTGCTGTACAATTAAAACCTCTCAGAATCCTGTCTCTCCCTCAGATTTAGCTTTTTAAAAATAGAACAAAATAGAAAATCCTAGCTCATGGCCTCAGCCTTGGCTTGTGCTTTGAGCATTGCTAAAACATGGTAACACTGTGAGCTACATGTGCTGTCTTGTGTCCTGTCCTCAGCTTACCCACTGTGCCCCCCAACTCCCAATGCTGAATAGTCTCCAACCCGTTGTGTGTGTGGATATCATCTGTGCAATGGTCCTTGTGTCTTTCACTCCCATGATGCACTTTGTCTGTTCCTTCTAGAGTTTGGAAATGGATCCAACTGTGGAGATTTGATACCCATTGCTAAAAGTATACCCATTGTTTAAAAGTACTGGGACCTGATCTGAATATAGTGCAAGAGTTGTTGCCTTTTGAGCTTATTGACTTCAGGTGTGGTTGTCAGGGCAGTCTGGCAGCTCTACACCAAGTGGCACAGAGGCCAAGGATGCACACGTGTGCACAGTCCTGGCTCATCTGTGTTCCCTGCACTGCTGCAGGAAATACATGTGTGCCCAGTCCAGGCCTCTCTGTGTGCCCTGTACTGCTCCAAGAAGCACATATGTGTACATCCCCAGCCTCTTAGCATGCCCTGACTGCTTCAAGACACTCAGCCAGTGAGACCATTAGCACTGTGGTTTCTGGAGTCTCCAGAACAGTGACCGAAATAAGCATTTTCTTCATAAGTCACATAGCCTCGGGTATTTAATTATAGTGATGGGAAATGAGCTAAAAATAGCTGGAAGGTGCCACTTTAGGCTCCAGCACAGAAATGGAGGAATCTAGCTTTAAATGAGACTACAGTCTGAGCATAGCAATAAACTCCATGCTAAAATATATAAAGCAAAATAAAAATACTAAGCTATTATAAATGAATGATAGGACACACAAAAAGGAGGATGGTAAGGTCTCATTTGCTCTGAGCTTGTGGACATGCCTGGGCATCTCAGGCAGTCATACAAAACTGCTGCAGCTAGAATTCTGCAGGTCAACCTCTCAGGTACTGTGGGTTGAGCAGTGTCCTCCAGAAGCTCACATGTTGAAGCCTTAACCAGGGAGTACAGAATGCTATCCTATTCGGAAGCAGGGCTGCTGAAGATGTACTCGGTTAAGGTGAGGTCACACTAGAGAAAGGCAACAAACACTGTGCAACGTGACTGGTATTCTTGTGGAGCAGAAATTTGAACACACAGGCATTTATCAGGAAAGACAGCATGAACAGAAGAAGGTGGCTATCAAGAGAAACAAAGGGGTCAGAGCTGAGCTCTCCCACTGAGCCCGCAAAAGGGACCAGGCCTCTACTCTCCAGGACTGTGAAAGGTAAGTTTCCATTGCTCTAAGCCACCAAGCCTGTGGCATTATACTTGGTAAAAGTAGCTCTCTGTGGA